CTGAAGCAGCCTAACTTTCAGGTATCCTTGCCGATGTCTAATGTCTAAGTTACATGAAGGAATTTTATTCCTATAACTGGGTAGTACTGAAGTATGTTTTACCGAATGGAAGCTTCCACAGTCACCTGAACATAAGGAATTTTATCCACAGCACCTTGTGAGGAATATAAGCCACACAGTAATGAAAATGAATGAAGCACAACACAAAAATTTGAGAGGACAAAACCAATTCCAATTGGGACAACCAGATTCTTTCTTTCATAGATAACTCCAATAAATATTGGTTGAATCCCAACTGTATTCCAGGTGCATTTCCAAGTCTTAGGGAATATAGCACAAAGAACACACAAAACTTCATGTCTTCGTGGAAGGAAAGGGAAAAATGACCATAAAGCAAGTAAATAAAATATCTAATATGTCAGAGGAAAAAATTAAGCATAAAAAGGATACGGAGAATATTACGGAATTGTGATTTTTAAACAGAGTGGCCAGGGAAGGCTTCAATGAGAAGGTCACACACCTGAAGGTGATGTCATAAGGTATCAGATTTGATTTTAGAACATTCTAGGCCTTGGAACAGCAAGTACAAAGATTCCAGGGTGGAGCCTGCCTGCTGTGAGGGAACCAGAGTAAGGAGGCCAGTGTGGGTGCAGCACAGGATTACACAGGACACTGGCAACCAAGGCCCGAAGAGTAAGAGAAGCTGAGTTAGGTGGGGTCCTGCAAGCCATTATACGGCCTTCTGTTTGTACTCTGTGTGGGTGATGATACAAAGAAGTAACGTGTACCTGACAAATGTTTTAAAAGGATCACTCAGGGTGCCACAGGAAGAAGAGTCAAGCAGAGGAAAGGATGGAACAAACTGCGGGTGTAAGGTGTAAGGCTACAGAAACATCAGTGGGGATCTCAACAGATTCCCAAGAGACCTTGTGCTCCGACAAGGGGTGTGGGCTTAGAAGCTCACTGGAGGAGAAAAAGCTTCCCCTCCTGGCCACCACAAGGGGAATGACCCTTGAGTCTCCAGAGTCCTGCATGAACAGACTTATTCACAACATTCTTCAGCTAGGATGAAATACATTTTTAACCATCTAATTGCTATATTATTTATTCATGATTAGAACCTCAGTTTTTTTTTTCTTTTCTTTTCAGGACAGAGTTCCTATTCTGCACTATTTAGGCTACAACATAAATAACATGGCTCCCAAGAAAATGGTGGAGCCTCTTTTCTAGGTCTCTCCTTTAATGCATTTGATAAGAGATGGTACAAATTTGAAATCTAAGGAAGAAAAGTGAGAAAAACCATGAAAACATTTCTTTGTAAAAAATGTATATTTCTTTACAATTTGGAAAATTAGTTCACCGCATCATTAAAAACCAAGGCATCCAGCTATCAACCTTCGAAAACTAGCCTGAATTATTTAATTATATTTACAAGCTGAATATGAGTATATAAAGAATACCAATATCATTTTTTTTTTTTTTTTGCTATATAGCAATGGCCATTCTCTGGCAGGAAGTTGAGAGCTGAGTCACAACAGTGAGGCTGGGGCTCTGTGTGGCTTCTCCTTTCTTCTTCCTGCCTCCTCTGATTTACCATTTCTTCAAAGGTTGCCAACCACTCCCTAAAGATGTTTAAAGAACGAGTGATTTCATATATATATTTGCCACAACCAATTACAAAACAGAAAAAAAAATCCTAAAATGTGATCCCTAAGTATCCTCTCTTCCCCGTTCTCATGCTCCTCACCTCTAACTCACAGTTTTCCATAAGTCTTCAGATTGTGCTTCTTTGCATTTCCTTAGTGGGAGGGGTTATCACTTCTATTCACAGCTGAGAGGTGAGAAGAGCTTGGGACTGCTGCAGAGAATGTTGAAATTTTAAATGTATAGAAGTCAGTAAATTAATAGTTATGGTTCTCACAGGAGTAAACTACTGGTATATACTCTATATGTTGTATTCAATCTACTATCAGCAAAGTAATTACTTGAGTAGGTTGTAAAGAAGTAAATAGCAAGTTTTATGTAATAACAAGTTTTACGTAAACAAACCATAACTTCAAATTTCTTCAGACTGTGCATTTAAAATTTCAATTCTGAAATTTCTATTTAGAAGTTTAGAAATAACTGATAGAACATTTTCTCATCTGTGTAGGTGTCTATGGTTATGTCACCATAGTCGGTGGATATGTGAGTTTGGTATAACTTTAGTTCAGAACATAAAAAATAAAATAATAACAAGTGTTAGCTTCCATGTTTCTCTCTGGATTCACCAGCTGCAGGACACATACACCCCCACCAGGTGCTGATGGATGTGCCTGGATCCAGTCATACCCCTTACCAGAATCTCTTTCTATACACTGACATATGTTTACTTTTTCAATCCCCAAAACGCACAACTGAGCTCACGGGTGAAGCCTGTAGCTCGGCAAATTTACTGGCATTGGCAAATGTGGACTCATTAGCATTTTTCTCTAAGCCCAAATCATGATCTACTTTTATTTCATAAATGACCTAGGACTTTAGTGAGGAGGCTACAGCTAGTACATGTGGCAAAATTATATCCTAATGTTTTTGTAGCACACAGATTCTCTTAAGGATCCAGGGGGAGGTTTCGTAAAGCTATAATGTCACACATTTCAAGGAACTGGCAATCTCCTTTAGCTTTCAACCCTCCTGTTCTGAGCAATTTCTCCCTTTATAAAGGGAGAGTCAACATGTTTACACAGCTCTCTGGCGTGTTTCTCTGATCTTCAGTAACTTAAGCAAAATGTAAGGAGATGGAAAAACAATAAGTTGCATAAGACTATCTTCGGTTGTTGATTAAAACACATAAAAATAGGAAGTTTATCTCAAAACTGATAAATATCCATAGTCTTAGTAGGTGTCACTAGTATGGCTGATTATGCTTTCTAAGATTTAATCCAGATAAACAAATCATAAGAAAATAATCTTTTACTACCAGAAAAGTCAATATTTTTATTCAATTTAAATAATATATTTGATCCTTCTGGATAAAAAAATCTGATTATTAAGAAAGGGTTAATTTTCATTTACTGAATGAATAGGTTTCTGAAGTATTCTCTTTGTATAAATTCATTCATTAGTAACATGGGCTGAAGTCAAACCTAAAAGCATAAGGGGTTTATGCTATTTTATATTGAAATCACTTAATATAAGTCATGGGTTTTGGAGCCAGAATGACCTGACTTTACATTGTCATTGGATCTCTTGGAGTCTTAGGGAAATCATTTAACTTCAGCCATCTATTTCTCATCCTCCTAAAATGAAGTTAATGGCACTTACCTTGCAGAATTGACAACTGTCCAGGTCTTGGTTGACCCTTAACAAATGGTAATTATTATTGTTATTTACAAAGGAAATGGGAGGCCATTGATTATTTGTGAATTTCATATTCACAAAGCTTTGCATTAATCACACAATGCTTGTGAGTAATGATCACAAAATATAATCTTAGCAAAATCTCTGATGCATTCCACACAATTATTTTTTAAGTGCTCTGTGTTAACATGTAATATTCACAAAAACATATAAAGTGCTATTTACAATCCTCATTTTACAAATAAGGAAACTGAGGAACAGAGAGGTTATGTAATTTGCTCAAGGTCATACAGCAGAGTCAGGATTCAAACCCTGGCAATATGACTGCATAGTTTATGCTTTTTAACCACTTCATTCAAAGCCCAGACATAGCATTAATGTAAGATAACAGGCATTCACTCAACAAACATACCAGGTGCTACATTCTGTGCCAGGTACTACTATCCAAAAAATCAAAACACAAACCTATAACCTTTAAGGAGCATCCAATATGGCGACTAGCAGCAATATACACCCTTAAAGTTATGACCCAAAACCTGTACTATTTCTCTGGATAGAAAATAAAAGTTCCCTTTTTAATTACTGTCACACAAAAAATTATGGCACAGCTATAATTTCTTTATGGAATGAATTGAGGTTTCTATATTCTTTGCATAAATATAAATAAAATTGTCACTGCACTTTGCTCATCTTTATGTTAAGATCTTTTAGGAACAGATAAAAATTATTTTTATATGATTGCTATATTATATCCAAAATTATTATCAAAATGGGTCATAAAAAGAATATATGGTCATTACCATTCATTCATTAAAGTACATCAACATTAAAAGTAACTCAAACAAGAAACAAAGGAAACTAGATACAGGAGTCCTCTTTAGATACACCTAGATAAGAACAAACAACAACCCCATGACAGGGTACATACAGATTTCTTGCCTCTATTTTGTTTGTTGGGGTGGGGGGAGCTGGTCTTTTCTTTCTTCTTCCCCCTCTTATTATAGTCTCATTCATTATTTCCCATTGTCTCTAATGCACAAGTAATAAGGGAGATGGGCTTCTGACAACCTGAAAATATTTTATGAGCTTTAAGATAGGTCAGCTCTCATTTACTCTGAAAGGACAGAATAGTAATGTGTTAAGAAAACCAAAAGGCAATTGTGCATAATGTATATTTGTGTGTGTGTATACATGCATATACATAATACATATGCAAAATGATTACGTTTAAGTAAAATGTTACTGTTTTCAATTTTAACCATTTGTTTCAAAGAACTGCACTACTCAATACTAATAAATAATTTATGTAAATGAAAACTGAACCAGTAATCTAACAACCGAAGATTCTGCCTTTTTTTCTTTTTAAAGGAGAAACAGGTTGTTCAGAAGCCAAGTGGGTAGGTAAAAATAATGAAATAATTTTCAGTTCAGTTTGGGTGAAAGTTATTGTGAAGAGATTTGATTTTTTTTCATTCTTTTTGCAATAAATAATGAAACCAAATGATAATGGCAATATGAAAAAATGTCAGTGGCTGTAAATGACCTTTTAAGAGCCAGTTGGCAGATAATTGATATGAAATTGTGGGTTTTGGAAGTCTCGTTAATATACATATGAATGACATTCCCCTTGATCCCTGTACAAAGGCCCACCCAGTGCTCACCTGATTCTGTTTGTCTGCTGGCAACCCTTAGCATATGGCCGACACTTGCAGGTGTTCCCTCAAGGTCTGGTTTCTTCCCGATCCTCCTTTCCGTTGATTGCCTGTAATTCCCTCAGTTAAAAATGTGCATCCTTTACATATTTGAAGTTTATTTAGCTTTTCAAGTGCTGTGATGGTGACAGGTTGTAGGACCTGTCTTTGTAATTTTTTTTTTTAAAGTGAGGAAATCTGAAGGTCCCTTGTAATAGTTTCAGGAACATGGAATCTCTCATTTGCTTATGTACAGAACACTTTTTACATTTGCTTTTAAATTCCATTTGTTGGCTTGTCACTTCGTGGGGAAAGAAAACTGTAGAGAAGCATCTTTTAAAATTATTACCTAACACCTGGCATTTAATTCAGATCATGTCTTATTGTGGTTTACAAGTAACATTCCAAAGATGATATTTTCCTTCTTTCAGTCATTATGGAATAACATCAATGATTTTCATAGCAAAAAAAAAAATGCATTTCCTGGTTCTTTTCACCGCCTTAGATTCTCAGACCTAACTTTATTTGTGCGGTTTATTCAAATAGTGGTTTTCCTTATGAAATCACGTTAAGTAGGAACCATCTGGAAAGGTTACTGTGGAAACGGAAGGGGCTGGGGGTGGGGCTAGAGAGCAAAAGATGCCATGACAACCTTTTTCGGGTTTCCCAGGAAACATGGGTTGCTATGGGAACTGCATCAGTCAGGTCCGAATTAGTAACTTCTGCTGGAAGGGGTGTCTGCCACTTTAATCTTCTTGCGATACTGAAGAAGCTTATCTCTCACATGCATTAGGAAATTTTTTTGTTTCTCACCAGCACTGAAAACATCTGTTTTTAGACTTTGATAGATGTTGGCTGGGACATATGCATAAATTTCACCAGAATCTGACAGTCCAAAGACTTTCAAAATGCATTGCAAGCCCCAAAGAGTTAAGGTAATTAGATCAGGACGTTTTGGGGTATTTCCTTTTGTTCAAAGTTGTAGAGACCTTGAAGATTCTGGGAGGAGAGGATTCATCTAGAAACTCCAGTCAAACACCAAACTTATGGTGGGTTTACAGTCATAGTTCCAGTTAAGACTTCTCATCCACGTACCCAGCCGGTAGAAACTGAACTAAATATTTAATAAATAACGTTGAAGGGTCCACCAAACTAAAGCATCATTGAAGTTATTTGTCTTCTTTACTTAGTAAAGAAACAACTACGTTTAAATTTTGAGGTTAAACAGTTACTCCAACTGTTCTTTAGTTTCATTTCCTCCCAGGATGTACTTTTTTTTTTTTTTAAATAGGGCATGTAACTCGAAAACAAGTTTAATGTAAGATTGTTGATCACAAAAATCAAGAGAGAGGGGGAGGGGCAAAAGGAGAGCTGAGAGAATGTGCAGCCCACCTGCAACACAGGCACCTGTTTCCGTGTGAAGCAGTAGGGAGGGGGAGAATGAAGTGTGCTTTCCACTACTTCAGGTCCTTTCCTTGATGAATGGTCTGGAAATGTACAAAACAAGGGCATCACAGACCAAGGGGGCACGTTCCACACAATACTTAGCACAGTATGTCACTCGTATCTTATATTAAACATCGGTGAATATCTTTTTGATGTTCACACAGGAGTTGGGATTATTGTTCGTGGTGCAGGTGGCAGTGGAATTGCCCGTTTTGAAAGGGGTCTGGGGAAAAGCACTGTGGTTCATATCCCCCTCCTCGATCACCATATACTCCGACTTACTTAGAGTCGAGTTGCTCCGTGCTTTTCGGAGCTCCTCAGCTGAAGAGGAGAGGTGCTGGCAACTTCCCACGTGCATGTATTGGGCTTGCTCTTCCCCTTCTGTCTCCCGGTGGTAGAAGTAATTGAAGTTGGAAACAATAACAGGAACCGGCAATGCAATGGTCAAGACACCAGCGATGGCACAAAGAGACCCCACGATCTTGCCCCCTATGGTCACTGGGTGCATATCTCCATACCCGACTGTTGTCATGGTTACCACTGCCCACCAGAAGGCATCCGGGATACTACTAAAACCTGAAGCGGGGTCGTCTGCCTCGGCAAAGTAGACCGCACTGGAGAAAAGGATGACCCCAATGAAGAGGAAGAAGATGAGCAGCCCCAACTCCCGCATGGAAGCCTTCAGTGTCTGCCCCAGGATCTGCAGCCCCTTGGAGTGGCGGGAGAGTTTGAAGATGCGGAAGACCCTCACCAGGCGAATGACCCTTAGGATAGCCAGGGACATGGCCTGCTGTCCGTTGCCCTGTCGCTCAGCCAGCTCGGTGCCCAGGGTGATAAAATATGGGATGATGGCCACAATGTCTATCAGGTTCATGATATTTCTTGAGAAGGTGGCCTTGCTGGGGCAAGCGAAGAATCGCACCAGCAGCTCAAAGGAGAACCAGATGATGCACAGGGTCTCCACCACGAAGAAGGGATCCGAGAAGCTGGAGGCTCCCGCGGGAGCCCCCGACGTGCTGTTGCTGGCCGCCTCAAGGACCTCCTGCGACGGCGAGGCCGGGTAGTCCTTCTCATCGCGGAACTCGGGCAGCGTCTCCAGGCAGAAGATGACGATGGAGATGAGGATGACGAGCACGGACACGATGGCAATGCCCCGGGCCGGCCCCGAGCTCTCGGGGTACTCGAAGAGCAGCCACACCTGGCGCTGGAAGTCGCGGCGGGGCAGGGGCCGCTCCTCCTCGCGCAGGAAACCCTCGTCCTCGCGGAACTTCTCCATGGCCTCCTCTCCCAGCTGGTAGAAGCGGATCTCCTCGGAGAAGATGTCGATGGGCACGTTGACCGGGCGGCGGATGCGGCCCCCGGATTGGTAGTAGTAGAGGATGGCGTCGAAGCTGGGCCGGTTGCGGTCGAAAAAGTACTCATTGCGGAGCGGGTCGAAGTACCTCATGCGCCGCTTGGGGTCGCCCAGCAGCGTCTCTGGGAACTGGCAGAGGGTCTTAAGCTGCGTCTCGAAGCGCAGCCCCGAGATGTTGATGACCACGCGCTCCCCGCAGCAGTCCTGCTCGCCCGCAGCCGGCAGCGCGGGCGGGAGCGGCTCATAGCGGTCACAGCCGCC